TGGGGGGTGAGGCCATAGACCCTCGAAGCCCTGCCCCCAATGGTGTACTTTATCCGGACCATACCACCTAAATCTTCCCAAACAGAATCACCAACTGGAGGCCAAGTGTTTATTCTTTTAATTAATTAATTAATTAATTGTTTTGGTTTTTCGAGACAGGGTTTCCCTGTGGCTTTGGAGGCTGTCCTGAAACTCGCTTGGTAGTCCAGGCTGGTCTCGAATTCACAGAGATCCGCCTGCCTCTGCCTCCCGAGTGCTGGGATTAAAGGCGTGCGCCACCAACACCAGCGGGCCAAGTGTTTAAATATGCAGGCCTACAGAGTGTGTGTGTGTGTGTGTGTGTGTGTGTGTGTGTGTGAGAGAGAGACAGAGACAGAGACAGAGACAGAGACAGAGAGGCAGAAAGATGGTAGAGACACATGCCTTGCCTTTAATCCCCGCACTCGGGAGGCAGAGGCAGGCAGATCTCTTGAGTTCGAGGTCAGCCTGGTCTACAGAGCGAATTTCAGGACAGCCTCCAAAGACACAGAGAAACCCTGTCTCAACCCCCCCCAAAGAAAGTGTGTGTGTGTGTGTGTGTGTGTGTGTGTGTGTGTGTGTGTGTGTGTATGTGTGTGTGTGTGTGTGATTTAAACCACCAAACATAGGATTTGCAAGCCCTGGGAGATGGCCCAGACCCAGAAATACACAGACATTAAAATTTGTAAGTTTTGTGGCTTCCAAAGGGAGGACTCAATTTTTTTCTTTTTGTACTGTTGGACATGAAAATTTAGGGCCTTGGGGCTGGAGTGATAGTTTATCTGTTAAGAGCTGAACTCTTTTGTTTTGTGTTGTTGTTTGTTTTTTGAGACAGAGTTTCTCTGTATTGTTTTGGAGGCTGTCCTGGAACTCATTCTTGTAGACCAGGCTGGCCTCCCCGAGTGCTGGGATTAAAGGTGTGTGCCACCAATGCCTGGAGAGCTGAACTGTTGTTGAGGATCCAGGTTCAATTCCTGTCGCCCACATGGTGGCTCACAGCATGGTATAACTCTAGTTCCAGGGACTATAATGCCCTCTTTTGATCTCCATGGGGGCCCAGGCACATATGTTGGGCAAAACATTTATACAATAAAAATAAACACAATTAAGAAAGAAGGGCAGTGGTCCATGCCTTTAATCCCAGAACTCAGGAGCCAGAGTCAGGTAGATCTCTGAGTTCGAGGCCAGCCTGGACTACAAAGCAAGTTCCAGTACATCCAGGGCTACACAGAGAAACCATGACTTGAAAAGGAAAAGAAAAAAGAAAAAACAACAAAAACAAAAGCTTTCCACCACCCAGCCTGCCACAGACCCAGCCTGCACTGCTCTGCAGTGGACTAGCAAGCTGACATTTTTAGAGTTCCCCAGTTAATTCCCCTTCAAACCTCAAGTCTAATCACTAGGCGACCACAGGTAAAACCTCTTTAAGGAGGGTTTCTCGGCCATGACCCTTCCTGGCATTCAAATGATTGTTATTCTTTCCTATTTAGTGTACACACAGACCCAGAGCATTTCCCTCGCCAAAGAATGTGAAAAATGCTGTTTCTGGCATTCCCTGTTCTCATTTAAGCCTACTGTGGAATGTCCCCTGTAAGCAAGCAGGGTGGCCGTCTGTCCATTTGAGCCCCCCTCTCTCCAAGGCTGGCCCCTTGCTCATCTCGCCCTGTCTTCCCCTGAGTTTCAAGCCCTTGAGCTGGGGTTGGAGCTCAGTTGGTAGGGCACTTGCTCAGCAGGCCCAGCGGGCCATCCCCTACCACATAAGACAGACATGCAGCCCCTAATCCCAGTGCCCTGAAGGAGGCAGGAGGATCAGCAATTCAGAGTTGTTCTAAGCTACCTAGCAAGTTCAAGGCAAAGCAGCCCAGTCTGAAAAAGAAAAAAACATCAAGTGGTAGATGAAAGAACATATGTCATGAGTGTTCTGAGCTGGGCACGATGAGATACATGCCTGTGATCCCTGCATTCCTAAACAGGGAAGGAGGCAGCAGGATAAGTTCAAGGCCAGCCTGTAGAACACAGTACCATAGCCTAGGCTACATAGCATCTCATTAAACCAAGGGCTGGAGGTGTGAAGACTTTCATACCTTGTGCAAAAAGAAAAAGGAGGCCGGGCGTTGGTGGCGCACACCTTTAATCCCTGCACTCGAGAGGCAGAGGCAGGCAGATCTCTGTGAGTTCGAGGCCAGCTTGGTCTACAGAGCGAGTTCCAGGACAGCCTCCAAGACAATACAGAGAAACCCTGTTTCGAAAAACCAAAAAAAAAAAAAAAAAAGAAAAAGGGGAAAAATTCTCCCACCATGATCTCTGAGACCCCTGGGACCTGACTGTCTTTCCTCTGTTGTCTCTGACTCCTCTCTCTGACATCACATCACTCCATTGCGGTCTGCTGGCTGCCCCTCTACCATCCCAGGCACACACCAGCCACAGGCCTTTGCACACGACATCCTGGTTCCCTCGGGCCTGCCCTTTCTGCCTCCCATCATGGCTGACTATTCACAGACACATGGTCCTATATATCACTTCACATTTAGCAACTTAAAATTGACCCCCACAGCCGGGCGTTGGTGGCGCACGCCTTTAATCCCAGCACTCGGGAGGCAGAGGCAGGCAGATCTCTGTGAGTTCGAGGCCAGCCTGGTCTACAAGAGCTAGTTCCAGGACAGCCTCCAAAGCCACAGAGAAACCCTGTCTCGAAAACCAAAAAAAAAAAAAAAAAAAAAAATTGACCCCCACAGCCCCGCTCCATCAGCACTCGGGAAGCAGAGGCAGGGGGATCTGTGAGTTTGAGGCCAGCCTGGTTTACAGAGCGAGTTCCAGGACAGGCTCCAAAGCTACTCAGAGAAACCCTGCCTCGAAAAACAAAACAAAATGTATCTTAATCTTCGGCGAAAAGCAGTTAATATTTCACCTTTAATGGACAATTGAGCCAGACTGCTCATCTCTGTAACTGCAGTTTTTGAGATTACAGGATGCTGATGCAGAAGGACTGTTAAATTGAGTTTAGGCAGCAGAAAAAGACGAGAGGGGGCGGGGGAGAAGGAAGTGTTATGGAATAGCAGGCCCTGTTTGATTCCCAGCACCGAGGTTAGGTAGGGGACAAACACTTTTGAAAATAATGTAAGGTCAGGTATGAGTGTGATGGCATCTTACTTTACTAACATCTGCACGGAATTAAACACGGAAGAGGAATACAAGGAAATAGTCGTGTGTCCTCTTTAGTGAGGCTACTGGCTGAAAAAGCTTTCTCCCTGTTACCTACTGGTCCCTCTCAGATCTGATAGCGTCTGATGACCAGGGTTCCTGTAGCTCATCAGTTCATGAAGCTAACTTTCCTGCTGAAAGTACAGAGACAGGTGTGCCTCGTTTACAGGCTTCCTAGTCAGGGGTCAACAGGTTTCAGATGCAGCTTCAGAGGTTCAGAGTCTTAAATTTCCTCTGACCTCCAAAAATGCCCGTGCCTATTAACATAAGCTTAGCCTTTTGCTATGACACCAAGACGTAAATCTTGTTCCCGCTGTCTTATAGGTACCTGTAGTTTCCTGGGAGACGTTCTTCTATATCAAGAAATCTGGTCTGGCCGGGCGGTGGTGGCGCATGCCTTTAACACCAGCACTCGGGAGGCAGAGGCAGGCGGATCTCTGTGAGTTCGAAGCCGGGCTGGACCGACAGCCTCCAAAACAATACAGAGAAACCCTGTCTCGTAAAACCAAAAAAAAAAAAAAAAAAAAAAAAAAAAAAGAAATCTGGTCTGATTAAAAAAAAAAAAAAGGTCTCCAGAACCCATTTTCAAGCATACCTTGCAGGTTCTCTCCTCCTGTCTGGGCCAAGGCCAACCCACAAAGGGTCATCCAGATGACTCCAGCAGCACCTCCACGAGCTCTTGGGACTTCACCATCAGCATCACTAGGCTTAAGTGGGCTCCTCTTTAGGATACTTGGGTCTGTCCAGCAGCTGGGACCCTCCACCCTCCGGTTTTCCAAGATGTCCCAATGAAGGACACACGTGGCTTTCCTGTCTCACTCACTCACCCTCGCGTCTTCTGTACTACAAAGGCCACTTCTCCATTCCCAGCATTCTGGCAGTTATCACCCCTCCCATGGCTAGCCCCGTGCGTAGGGCCAGTGACAACCATCTCTTCTTTCTCCTAGCAAGCCGCCTTCTCTGCCTGCTCAAGGAACAGGTGCCTGAGGTCCGCAGGGTGGCAGTTCAGGGGACGCTGCTTCACTCATACCACCTGCTGAACAGAAAAACACCGACTCCTCCCTCCCCCCACATTGTCCCTTGTCAGCAGGAAGAAGCCAGACGTGAACCCGCGTCCATAAACCCAAGAGTCTGGAATGTTATAGCGGAAGTTCCATCCGAGCCCCCTCCCATCTCACTCCAAACCCTGCTGCATCTCAGAAAGCCCGCCAAATGATGACCCTCCCTCCCCCAGAGATGCTCAAGGCCACATTTAAACTATCCCCCGGAGAGCAAGACTCGTGGTTATTATGGTCTTTCCCTTTCCTATCTCCTCTCTGTGGGGCGGGAAGGCCATTCAGGACCGTTGTATCCATTAAACCTGGGCTTTTTCTAATTTGGTTTGATTGCTACATTGGCGGGGAGGATTACCAGGGTGTAGAAACTTTTCACCTAGGTTATCCCGAGTCTTGCAAAGTTTCTACATCAAGCTCCTAGTACAAGTTTTGTTTCCTGGCTGTCGCGAGCAGTTATTTTTTTTTTAACTACAAGTCCCAGCAGACATCACGCCGTGGCCTCCTGCAGGCCGACCCGCCTTGAGCTCATTGATCTCTGGAATTTGTAGTCCTAACTATAAAATAAGGTGGGCCACACACTACCGGCACAGAGGACAGAGGTGGAGACACCACCAGAGTGACCAATAGGCACTGCGTACCAGAGTAGAGTGGCGGGGAGTTCACCAATCGGCGAGGCGCTCCTCGTGAGTGACCTGGCAGGCAGCCTACAAACGGCCCGCGGGGTGGAGCGTACGCCTCGGCCCCATTGCGAGCTATGGGAGGCGGCTGGTGGTGGGCTCGGGTCGCGCGCCTGGCCCGCCTGCGCTTCCGGGGGTCGCTGCTGCCACCGCAGCGGCCCCGCAGCGGGGGCTCGCGCGGATCCTTCGCCCCCGGCCACGGCCCACGCGTGGGGGCCTCGCCGCCCCCGGTGTCTGAGCTCGATCGCGCGGACGCTTGGCTCCTCCGCAAGGCACACGAGACAGGTTTGTAGCGGGGACCCTGGGTCGGCCGCTGTGCCGGAGTGGTGCGCACGTGGGAGTGGGCGGCCAGGATGCAGCAAGCATCTGCTGGGACTAGGGCCCGGGCTCAGCGGGGGCAGCTTCTACATGCAAGCGCAGGGAAACGCGGGGTGGGAGATTTCGCAGCCTGGCCGCATAGGGTACCAGTTTGCGGGTCCTGGCTGATGGGGGGGCACGGCACGGGTTAAGGCGGGGGTGGGGGCGGGGGACCACGGTTAGGAGAGATAGCCCGACGGCACCACACCTGCCTGGGGGAGAAACGGTTCTAGAGGCACCTGAGAGGGAGCGAGATGCCTGCAACCGGGAGGTCTGTTCGGATTGCAGAGGGGAGCACCAGGGATAAAACAAGAGTGCGGCTAACCCGCAGAAGATGGGGAAGTTCCGGATTGGGCCAGCGCGCAACCAATGGTAGAGAACATGTGTGCTGATTGGAGGGAGAGATGGTCTAGGCTGCAGGGGGAGGGACCTCAAATAGAGCAGTGGGTTGACAGATTGGAGCCAGTTGGGGATGGGATGAGGCTGGTGGTGGAAGCGGCCTTTTGGCGGCGCTCAGGGAGCTGAGTGGCGAGATGTGGACACACGGAGGAAGCCGTACTAGGTAGCAGCTGTTTCCACTTAAGAGATGGGGGAGGCTGGAGGCAGGCCCGGGAGGAGAAGTTCGTCTCAGAGGTCTGAGGAAGAGAGAGGGAGGTTCACCGGGTGCACAGATAAGCCGACTTGCCACGACTTCTCATCCTCAGACTGGGCGTCTTAATTCTTGCTTTCGATTCTCCTCTGGGTTGACAGAGACTGTCTTCAGTCACTGCTCAGAAGGGACTTAGAATGTCCGGGGGAGACGGGTAGGGGGAATGGGGCTTGCAGACAGCTTCCCGGAAGGGATGCGCGCGTGGAATACTTGTCTTGCGGCTGGATAGGGTGGGGTTTGACTTGACTGTCTGAGTGAGAGGGTAGCGACAAAACAGGGCCTGACTGATTCAGAGTCCCACTCCGCCCATCCCCAACAGCTTTCCTCTCCTGGTTCCGAAATGGCCTTCTGGCATCAGGCATCGGGGTCATCTCCTTCATGCAGAGTGACATGGGCCGCGAAGCTGCCTACGGTGAGTACTGATCCTCCTGGAACTCGCTCCGTAGACCAGGCTGGCCTGGAACTCACAGATCTGCCTGCCTCTGCCTCCTCCTCTCCCCCCCCCCCGGGATTAAAGGCGTGTGTACCACTGTTGGCTCCTCTGACCTCATACTAGCTGGCATTAGAGGCCGTGCTCAGCCCCGTGCCCACCCATCATCCCGGGGCCTCTTGGGTACCCTGGACCCTGCAACTATTGAATGCTGCTCCTTCTTCCGTAGGCTTCTTCCTGCTGGGCGGCCTGTGCGTGGTGTGGGGCGGAGCCTCGTATGCAGCGGGGCTGGCAGCACTACGGGGACCCATGCAGTTGTCTCTTGCGGGTGCTGCGGCTGGGGTGGGGGCAGTGCTGGCCGCCAGTCTGCTGTGGGCTTGCGCTGTAGGCCTCTACATGGGCCAGTTGGAACTGGACGTGGAATTGGTTCCTGATGATGATGCGGCCGCCCCTACGGAAGGCCCGGACGAAGCAGGCCGGCCACCACCCGAGTAAACAGCTGTGGGGACTGGCTGGGCCGGAGGACTTGGGACATTAAACCTGACCCTTCAGCAGTTCGAGACTACGAGTGATGGCTCCTGTTATCTGGGGAGGTGGGAGAGGGAGACGAGGCCGATGGAGGTGTCTGAGGAAGAGACCAGATGGCTCGTTGCGTAGAGGCATTCGCTCCCAAGCCTGGCAACCTGAGCTTGATCCTCAGGACCCACATGGTAGGAGAGAGCTAATTCCCACGACGCACCACACACGCACCCCCCCAAACAGATAAGCAAATAAATAATTTAAAGGGACAAGTAAAAGCAATCACGCAGGGTCCCTGGGAGTGGAACCTCTCCGGGAGTGGCGTTTAATTTTCAAGGAAGACTCCAGGCCTTGATATACGCCCCAGGTTTGACTTCTCAGTCTCCCTTCCGCTGCACCCTGGTACCCGTGGGCCCGGGATAGGGCAGGCCCAGCGTGGGGTAAAAGGCCTCTGGGAGTGTGGGACCCGGGCCCAGCCTGTGCAGGTGTGGGTACATCAGACTCAACTCTGCGGGGCCGTAGCGGATGGTGCCTGGTGTGCACAGGCCCCGCACCACCGGGGGCAGGAAGCCTGCGTGAAGGAGGGCAGGTGACGCGTCCCCAGGAGTTGTCAGGGCCCACGGCAGCACTGGATCGTGCTTCAGGGCTCCTGCCCGGATGACAGAAGTAAACTCTGGCCTAGGTGGGGCTGGAGGGTCTGAGAGCTCCTCCTCCGCACTGTCCTCTGAGCCTCTAGTTTCCTTTGGACCAGGCTCCACTTTGATGCGTTTGCCTCTGGCCTGTGGGTCCTTGTCCTGGTCCTGGTCCACAGGGGCAGCCTGCTTTGGGTCCACCGGAGGCTCATCCTCTAAAGAAGATAATTTATTTTTTTTCTTTGCAGAGCTCTACCACTGAGCCACGCCCCCAACCCCTCACTGGGGAATTCTAGGCAGGGGATCTACCAGTAAGCCACACCCCAGCCCCTCACTGGGGGATTCTAGGCAGGGGCTCTAACACTGAGCCATACCCCTAACCCCTCACTGGGGGATTCTAGGCAGGGGCTCTACCACGGAGCCACGCCCCCAGCCCCTCACTGGGGGATTCTAGGCAGGGGCTCTACCAGTGAGCCACACCCCTGAGCTTCTGAAGGAATGTGTGCTGCGTCTCCAGCCCTTGATCTTGCAGTGTAAGCAAAGTGTGGCAGGCTGGCACTCTGTAGCCCCCGTGGTTTTTCCCTCTCGGGCACATGGCTAGACCAAGAGTTCATCCTGATAATGCCACTAAAGCCGGGACTAAGAAGCCCCCAGCTAGACCACTGCAGATTATGGAACTCTCCAGAACCCTCTCCCCACAGCCATAGAACTTTAAATAATTCTGGACATGTCTCATCTGTATTGTACTGAGAGACAGCCAATGGCCACCTGCCGCTGCTATTTGAAATCTGACGGGAAGATTTGAGGATGAAGACATCTAATTTTGAGGCAGAATGGGAGTTTGGTTGGTTGGTCAAGATAGGGTTTCTCTGTGTAGCCCTGGTTGTCCTGGAACTTAGAGGTCTGTCTGCTTCTGCCTCACAAATGCTGGGATTAAAGGCATGCACCATCATGCCCTACTTCGTCGTGTTTTTTTTTTTTTAAGATTTATTTATTACACCTCTGCCTACATGCCAGAAGAGGGCACCAGATTGAATTGTAGATGGTTGTGAACCACCATGTGGTTGCTGGGAATTGAACTCATGACCTCTGGAAGAGCAGCCAGTGCTCTTAACCTCTGAGCCATCTCTCCAGGCCCTGTCGTGTTGTTTTTGAGGCAAGGTCTCACTGTGCAGCCCTGGAGCTCATTATATAGACTAGGCTGACCTAAAATTTACAGAGATCCACCTGCCTCTGCTTCTGAATGCTGGGATTAAAGGTGTGTGCTATAACACCTGCCCCCCCTTTAGTTTTTAGGGAACTTTTTAAAAATTTGTTTCATGTGTTTTGAGTGCTTTGCCTGTGTGTGTGTCGTCTGATGTCTCTGGAGGCCAGAAGCAGGTGTCACATCCCCTGGAACTGGAGTTACAGATGGTTGTGAGCTGCCACGAGGGAGCTGGGCATTGAACCCTGGTCCTCTGCAAGAGCAGCCAGTGCTCCTATTTGCTGAGCCGTCTTCCCAGCCGCATTTAGACTTATTTTATGAGTATGGGTGTTTTGCCTGCAAGCATATCTGTGAATCACGTGAATGCCTGGTGCCCACAGAAGTCAAAAGAGGGTGTCAAGTCCCTGGGAACTAGAACTGTGTATGGCTTTGAGCTCTGTGGGTGCTGGGAATCAAACCTGAGTCCTCTCTCTCTTTTGTTTATTTTCAAGACAAGGTTTCTCTGTGTGCAGAGCCCTGGCTGTCCTGGAACTCGATCTGTAGACCAGGCTGGCCCCAGAACTCACAGAGATCTGACTGCCTCTGCCTCCTGAGTGCTGGGATTAAAGGCATGTGCCACCACTGCCCTGCCAACAACTGCCAACAGGGTTTCTCTGTGACTTTGGAGGATGTCCTGGAACTTGCTCTTGTAGACCAGACCAGCCTGGCCTCGAACTCACAGAGTTCCACCTGCCTCTGCCTCCCCAGTGCTGGGATTAAAGGCGTGCGCACCAACACCTGGCCCGACAAGTGCTCTTAGCCTCTGAGCCCTGTCTCCAGCCCCTTCACTTTCCATTTTAAAACAGGCTCTCTTAGTCAACCTTGAGTTTGCCAATTCAGGGTCCGTCTGTTGTACTTCCCCAGTGCTGGGATTGCAGAAGTGTGTTTCTGCACCTGGCTTTTCTTTATGAGGAACTAAACTCATACCATTAAACCTTCCAGGCAAGCACTTTTCCTACCGAGTCGTCTCTCCAAGGACATTGAACTTTAGTGTTAGTGTAAATACCCACAGATGTCGAGTGGATTCCGTAATGGGTGGTCCCAAAGGTCCCTCCGTCTTTTGTGGGTACAGAGGTGGGAAGGGGTTAGCTTGTTAGCTTACCTGTGGGCTCCGGGCCTGGGCTGGGAGGGTCCTCATGAGAGACAATGGCTGGAAGCTGGAAGGCATCCAGGGGTGTTTGGCCCTCTTCAGCGTGGCTGGGGACAAGATGATGGCACTGAAAACCAGAGGTCTGGGGACAGTAGTGAGTATAGACATTCCCAGCATGGAATCTGCTGATACTACCCTGAGGCACTTAAAAGTTTCTAACAGGCCTATTAATTCCATGTCGGTTACACACTTACACACACACACACACACTCAATTAAACCCAGAATCTCCTATGTGCTAGACAGGCCCTCTACACTGAGCCACACCCCAGCCCCTCACTGGGGGATTCTAGGCAGGGGCTCTACTGTTGAGCCCTCTATTTATTGAGACAGAATCTCCCCCAGGTTTCCCAAGCTGGCCTGAATCAGTCTTTCCACTGGCTGGGCTCAGAGGATCAGGCCCAGCTCCAAAATACACTCTAAGTCAGCTGAGCTCTCCCTCCTATGGGCAAACCTATGCCACTGTCAGCCACCTGATATTACATGGGGATCCTTTAAGCATGTCATGGCCATCTTAGTCTCTTCCTTCTAAATCTCCTGTTCTAGGATCCAAAGGGGCAGATGGTACCCCTCCTCTCTTGGCTTCTTTATTTGTTTGAGACAGGGTTTCTCTGTGTAGCCCTGGCTGTTCCAGAACTCGCTCTGTAGGACCAGGCTGGCCTGAAACTCACAGAGATCTGTCTGCCTCTGCTCTCCAGTGCTGGTATTAAAGGCGTGCTACGTCACCACCCGGCTTCCTGGCATTCCTTAAACCATGCATGCCCCAGCCCCCTCTTGTTCTCCAGTTCCTATGTTTCCCTAGTCAGCTCCCAGCAGACATCGTCCAGAAATGCAGATTTCCTTGTGATTTTTCCCTCCAGACACAAAACCTTCACTATCTTCCCGGTGCTCCCCAGACAAAATGTCCTGCGGCCTTTCACAACTTGTTTTCTCCTGACTAGGCTCCAGCCCCAGACACCTTCCCCGGGGCAGTAGGGCTGTAGACCTGAGGCTCCATCTGCTCCGTGCCCTCTAGGCAATGCGTGTATATATTGCACCACTCTGGTCCTGCCTATATAGAGTCTGCCGCGGCTCCCCAGTGACCTAGAGTCAAACCCACACCTTCAGCTGGAGGTAGACCACCCTGAGCCTCCTCCCCCTGCCTGCCTCACAGGTAGGCTCCTCCCACTCCTCTCCGTGCCCACCAAGGGAGGCCCCAGCCTCTGCGCTCCGGCTCTTTCCCCTTCAAGCCTACAGAGCCCTCCCTTGAGGGCCCTGGCTGGGACGGGGAGCGGCTGCCGCTAAGGGCCACCTCTCACCTGAGCACGTGACTGACCCACAGCACGTGATGCTCCCCGGCACTCTTCCCGTTCCCGGCCACAGTGGCCACAGATTGCAGCCACACGAAGCCCCCCCGCACGCTGCAGCCAACGGTAGTAACCAGTCACCACCTGACCCTTGTCCAGCACTGCGTCCATCCCAAGAGAGCAGAAGCCCAGAGGGGTGGGGAGGGCGGGGAGGGCCAGGGCAGGTGGGCAGGAGACAGGCAGAGGCGGCAGGAGTGGGAAGGATCGAGAAAGACAGAGAAAGTCAGAGACCCCGAGGTATCCCAGCATGGGTCAGAGACCCCCTCCTACCCCGCTTACTGCCCCGCCCCCTGAGCCATCGCTCAAGCTCTTTGATACTTTTCTACTCCAAACAGAGCTCCAGGAGCTGCGGTACGAGCAGAGACTGTGGTTAGCCCTGAAGAAGGACTTCCAGGGAACAGAGCAGCGGGGGGGCATTCAGGCCTTTGTGGCGGTAGGTGGGCGGGCGGGCGGGCGGGGAGAGGGCACGGAAGTGTGTCTCACGGTCCAGATGGCTTTGCCGGATCCTGGTGGCATCCTGCCCGTGGACAAACTGGTAGCAGCTGCGCCCCACCAGCTCCGAGGGTCCCATGTCCATGTGGTCGCTAACCCTGGAGGAGACAGAAAAAAGAAAGGGGGGGAGGGAAAGGAGTTGGCGACACCGCGTGGTGTGTGTGGGAGACGGCAGAGCT